CGACTATTTTCTGGGGCAAACTGTTCCAATGTTTCGCTACTTGCCGCCCGAAACATAGAGAGTGAGCTATCCGCTTTAGATCCGGCACCGCAAGCTTGTATCGGTGACCGCGATTGCTGCTTGGTGCGCGCACGTGCATCAGTGATCTCAGTATGGGGAAGTGACCCAGATGCAATATCCGGTGCGTTATACTGAGGTCCACCCGAAACCGACGATACGACAGGGTGTACAGCTCTAGTCGTCTGAATCGGTCTTCGTATGTCATACCCCTTAAATTAGAGACGAGTCTGGTAGCTGCATGCTGAACCGGTTCCCATTTCTGCACCACGCTACGGGTGATCCGTACTCGAGCAACGGTCTTATGATGGAGAGAAGAGGCAAGTGGTAATCTCTTCAGACCAAATACAGAAGCTACGTTTGAGTGTCCGAGGCATGCGTAGTCCGTTTCTACATAGCTTGTTCGTTTTATCTGCGGGTTTCAAATTGCAGAGTGAAAGTACACCGAGATCCTCCCTGGAAGATGTGGGACGTAGCAATTGGCCTGCCGGAGTGTATATAGGCCCATCATCATCCTTCCCTAAGTTCATAAATGAAGATTTGACAGAGTTAACCGGCAGATCCACCTCTGCAGACCACATGGACAGTCGATCGACGTCATGCCAGTACGTCGCGTTCGTCCCGAACATCAACTTCTCTCCAAAACTTCGGGTCGTCTGTAAACAAGGCACAATGGTGTTGAAAAAGCTGAGGCACACCTTCGATGGGAACAAAATGGGCCCAAGCACTGTGCCACTACTGGAATAGTACAAGTCCGTTAGATGATCATCTATCAGTACCCTCTATTTTTGCCCAATAAGGAAATCACTGGTCCGGTGGCGCAGTGAGCCAGCAATACTGCACATCCGCAGTTAGTTGAGGTGAGCCTCATGGTTTAGTTTGTCGGACGCTTTGCTGAAATCAATATAGATCACATCCACTGACTTCCCCCGGTTCAACGCTTGCAATCATTCATGTCGTGTCAACATCAGGTTGGTTATACAACAGCGGCCATTCATGAAACCGCATTGTGCGAAAGTCATATTTTTCACTTCCAGAAGCTACGGTAGACCCTTTTTCACGACCTTCTCGAGTGCTTTGACCGAAACGGAGGTCAGACAAATCGGTGACTAATTGTCCACCCAAGTGAGGGTCACCGCCTTTCGGAATCGGCTTCAATACCGAGCATTTCCAACCGCTCTGTCATGCAGCTTTGGATAGCGGTCTGTTGATCAGAGCATTCACGGAAATGATGGCTGACAACGACTTGAGCATCAGCGAGTGGAGTCCATTGAAACCGGTAGGCTTCGTCCTGTCAAGACTGGTAAGTAGATTTCAGACATCTTCCACATCACAATACAGGCTTTCGAATTCTATACTCGAACACTACAGGCCGCATAAGCGTCCACGGTAACTTGTCGGACAGCTTTCCGACAACAAGTGGCGTTCATCAGAGTTGTCCGATCTCCCCGTTTTCTTTGTTTAATTTCGTCGTGGACTCAGTCATGGAGTGTTCCCTTGTGGAATCTCACCATGTAGACGTTGAGTTCCTGGCTGGTGAAAGGTTATTTGATCTTGATTATGCGGACGATATCGCCTTGCTTTTCGATGATGTTGTGGCGGCACAATCAACCCGGCATAGCCTCTAGAGTGATCCCATTATTTGGTATACGCTTCGCAACGTGTTGCTGCAGGACCATCAACCATTTTTATGATCACTTGACCCTTGATAACGAGGAACTCGAGGTGCTTCATCGATTCACTTACCTTGGCAGCTGTATCAGCAATGATGCGCGCATAAAAACTGAAGTCACTTTACACATTACAAAGGCCAGAACTGCTTGCTTGAACATGCGGCATCTTTGGTGACAGAGTGGAGTTTCCCTACGTATAGAAGGCCGTGTAGCGAAGGTCACAGTGAGGGTCTTCCTGCTCTATGGTAATGAAACTGCCCCTTCGGTCTGATAATCTGAGGTGCCTTCAAATATTTGGTGCCCGATGGCACCAGCGTGTCCGCAATGATGATGTGCGTAGGCGGGTACTAGGCAGTGATAAATAAGCTAGTTCCCTAGGGCAACAGATAGAACTGAATAATTTGCGTTGGCTTCGGCATGTGCTATGTATGCCTGGTCACCGCATACTTAGGAGGGCCTTGTTTAGTCTGCCAGATATAAAGTGGCGCAAGGCTCGCGGTGGATAAAAGTTGACTTGGCAGCGGGAAATGAAGTCACTAACGAGCAGACTCGGTGTCGTTGGTCCGCCTCGCCTTCCGGGCTGGAGTCCACGTGACTCGCCTTGTGTTTCGCTCGAGACTTTACAGGACATGGCTCGCAGTCGACACCAATGGCGTGTCTACTGTCGTCTCCTAATGGGATTGCCTGTTTAAAGTGTGTTTGGTGCTGAGTTATCTGCAGGGTAATAGCTGATTATGACGCGAAGCAGTGAAAGCCGCAAGGAAGCTGTCTCGCTGATGCCGCCTTATCATTGCACGATAGCCATCTGTTTGTGATAGTATGTTGTCTACACAAGATGTAGGCGCCTTGACCCTAAATGTTTGCTTGGGGCATTAAGGTTTTCAGGTAAGTCCCCTTTCTCTCCCTCTTATTATTCCTTACTCCATAGGTCATCATGATTGTATGGCACCGAAGCATCAGTACAAATGGTTGATGTACTACTGTTGTTGACTTGATTTGTTGATCTGCAAGGGCTGCACACGTCGAGTTTGGTATAGACGCAGGTCCACTCGCAAATACAGAAGCGAACTGCGTAGCTAACGTGGACGCACGTTCAGCACTGCAAGTCTGAGGCTGTCCACTAGAGCCCACTATCACTGCTACGTCATCTGCAGGTCTCAGGCGCCGCTTCACGTAAGCGAAAATTCGCTATTGGACCGCCTTTGCAGCGGTTGCAAGCTCCTCTTCGAACTCCCGACGTTTTTGTGCTTTCGCGCTGTTGCCTAGATTCCGTTGCATTTTGTGCACCTCGTAATCATCTGTAACGTCACACTGGAGGACTTTATTCCACAATACACGTTTCTGTCAAGCCAACTGTACATACTTTTTGTGGAATCAGTGTGGCTTCATTGGACCAGCTATCCTATATTTGATGGGTGCAAAACGAGCGCACAACAATTACACACTCTCTTTTATAACAGACCAACTGGCCACAACCGATGAATCCTGCGGCATCGACTAGTCCACTTGACTAAGGACTCCAGTGTGACCATCGTAGTCAGACTCACAGTAGTTGTAGGGTGGCCCTAGCGAACGCGAATATGGCAGCGAAAACTAATGGCTTGTCATGACCGTCTAGTGATCATTCGCTGCTAGAGGCTCCCACGCATACACTGTTTGCAGCTCGTCAACATCAGGTCCAGGCACGACGGGTTTAAGAGCGTTGTAATGCACGTCGGCGGTTGACTTGCCGAACAACCTTCTCGTGGTGCCAGCTGGGTGGTTAGAGATTTTCCCGTTCCAGCAAATGGTTCGGCGGCAGTGTTCCAGGACGTGGTGGGTTTTCGCCTGGCAAGCGTTCTCCCTATAAAAAGCCACATATGTCCGTTTAACAACACTGTGAAGTGGCGGACGTGACTCGCCACTAAATAAAGTCACTGCCCCTTGCTTCATCCTGGCGAAGTACTGTATTCCAGCAAATTTATGCTGTAATTCTGGGGAGCACTGGGCCCCTGTTTGACAAAGGAACGAACGAAAGCCATCTAACTGAGCAATCAGTCACCGGCTCCCAATGGGCGCGATTCCCTAAATTCGCTTCGCTGCCTTGCGAGTAGGCTATTCAGCCAAAGGCTCGGGGTGGCATCCCCTAAGTCAACACCCTACTTCGGCTTGGGCAACCGGGTAATATCTCGCCCTCTGACGAAACCATGGACTTTAATGTGTTGTGTTTTCTTTTACTATTTCTGTACCTTCTTTTCAGTCCCATGGTTTCTGATGCATATATATATATATATATATATATATATATATATATATATATATATATATATAGGGTCCTTGGGTGGCTTGCGCTGCACCACACACACTTCCATCCACACACCCCATGTCCAGTGTATACCCGAAGGAATAAGACCGGGAGGCATGTGGATGGGAGCCACGTTTCATCAACGGACTCGGCCCATACTCCTTGAACAAGCAGAGCGGGAGCATTCATGCCTAACTGGGGAATCATGTGTAACAGACGCACACAATGCAGTGGCGGGGCCGTAGCCCGTTCTACACTGCGTGCATTGAACCACCGCTTGAGCCCAGCGTCGTCACGAACACCGTGCATCCCTTCCATCCAGCAACGATTCGCAGTCTCCTGGAGTTTGGATAATCCAGGTGAAGGGTGTTAGACAGGTGAGCATCTTCTCGACATTCACATGAGGCGCAGCCACACTGGGGATATCAAACAACCAATACAATCTGAAAGAAAATAATCACGCAAAATTTACACGGAAGATGCAACAGAATAACAGAACTGATCAAATCAAATCAAATGGAATACCCTTATCCAGATTAAGAGGATCTAGTTCAAGTGTAAGTTTGAGTCGCCCAAATGAGGTGAAGAAGCATGATGTATGCAACATCGACATCAGCATGAGGTACCATATGAATACAAAAAAGTATGGAAGAAAATAAGCACAAACTAGGCAGCAAATGTGCGGCAGAATGACAGAACTGAGTGAATCAAAATATGCGTATTAATTCTGATCTTGTGTGAGGAGGATCTTCGACAAATGTAACTGTGATTCAGAGGATATCAACCAACGAGCAACGAAAACGGTAGAAAATACGCCCACAGTAAACAGGGAATATGTAGACGGTAAATGAACGGTAAATATCCAGTCATTTATCCATGTTGGTGCATAGTTCTACCAGCAGAGGCTGCTACTACCTATGATCTTTACCGTTACAATATCGCATCACAGAACAAACCACATGGACCACAGGACGCTTCGAGGTTACCTGAAATATCCGCTTGTAAATGTTAAAGTTTTGCGTGTATGCAGGTGCGCCGTACTTTTTGTACAGGAGCATGGCATCGTGCACTCGTGACTCCTTTATCAGACTGGCAGCGTATGCCGCCACGTATTTGTGCAACAACTGGTGCTCGCGTGTCCCTCTTGTCCCCGAACCGGTGCTGGTGGTGGCATTTTGGAGCATTCGTTCCGCTGCGGCCAGACACTTTTCCCAACGACCTTGCTCTGCATAGACGTCCAGTGCTGAGAGCATATCTATTCCGACCAACATCTCTGCTTGGCCCGTGGACTAAAACAGGAAAGAACAAAGTGTGGGCTTAGGATCGTAAATCATTGAACACTAGTCGAGACGACATAATCAGCATGATGATGTAGAAGAATACATGGGCGTGTTTTTCCTGATGTTCGTTAGAATCAGTAGTCCTACAAGTTACCTCTAACCGATAACTTATTCCTTCCATCAGTTAACCCTGTAGTATGAGGATTTTAACGATTTGACCAAATTTTCTTAAGGGGCCATTTTTAAAATCTTTGTACACACCTGATATTTTTCTGTCTCCCATGTTACCCGCAGCGGAAACTTAGAGGATGCAAACACAAATTTCAAGACCAGCGTGTCGAAAGCGAAAAGTCACCCATCAAACAAATCCACCTGTTGTTCGCAAAGCGTTCGGTAACGTTTGTAATGTCCACTTGTTTCTCTCCCCCACAAATGCCCGTCGTTAGATTCGTTTGGTTACTTTTCTCTGCAGCTTGTCCTATTTTTAACTACTCCCTATCACTGTGAGTCATTTCGAATCAAATGAAAACTTTTATGAACCCTAATGGGTACATTTTCAGCATTTATACCACCACTGTGGACAAACGGGATGATAATATCAATATACACGCTTGGGGAGAAAGTGGGAAAATAAGTACGACTGTCACTGTAGCAACCGCTCGCGCAGTAGGCTGATGACTTTCCCTGGGCCAACAAGCAAACATGAAAGATAAGGCAACACAGTATTACAATGAGATGACCTACGGGAGAACAAACTTTTGAGTTTTTAACGCGTAGAAGTGAAACCGTTTTTGAAAGATCACTATGAATTGGAGAAAATTAGTGCGTAACTGCCTCATAAGAAAATTCATTTCAGGCATCAAGATGTCTAGAAATAATCAAAAAAATGTTTATAATCGTGTTAAGACACGCTAACGCCCGTTTCCTACGTTTTGCAGAGGCAGTCGCGATCAGCCGTATCAAACCCGCACTCTGTGTGCAGAAACAGCTGTTCGTAAGCCTACGGCTGCCATGGGCGTAGGGGTGTCACGCCTGCCCCTCTACGCTGTTCTAACTTGTTCCGGTCTCATCCTGCCTGTCGTCTTATATATTTGCGTTATTGTGCTGGCACTGAAGAGACAATACGAAATGTTGACAATTGCCAGTGTTCGTCTTCTTACGGCATTATTCAAATATGCTACAGTTTATAGACAAGCCGCTGCATCTATAACTATGCTTTATAGATTGTACCAGTAAGATGTAGTCTTTCTGAAGAACTCCAGCGAAGGTGACAGGAGAACGGTAACCAATGGGGGATAATGCAAGATGTCACAAACTCGTATATAAAAGTACGCGGTACTGAAAACGCCTTAAGTCTGAGAGTATAAAAAGAAAGTTTTCTGACTTTTTGGAAAGTGTTACGGACATGCGTGGACCAAGAAAGTTTCTGGGACAAAAAACTCCGTCACACTTGTCAGTTGATGATCTGGATATGTTGTTTTCGTTCACAGTAAGAGTGGAGGCGATATATATATATATATGGACTGCAACTTATCGCCACGAAGACAAAGGAAATATTGCATTACTGCATTTAGAAGCGTTAAGTGTAAGGGATCTAGATAATGACGACTCCACCAGCTCTTCCAACCCACGTTGAGGTAATAATCAATCCTAAAAGTGGGCTCGCAGTGGGAAGCTTTCCACATATAACGAGAATAGAAATGGTGGTAGGGTCGTTCCCTGCAAAACACTACAGTAAGCACGGAAGTCAGAAGACTTCTAACAGTTTGACTCGGTGAAGTGAGTACGATCCGTAAAATAGGCTCGCAACTTTACACACCCCTGGGTGAACTCCATTTTCGGATAACAAGTTCAGGAATATTGACCTATCCAGACTTCCAAAAGCAGTCGAGTAAGTAAGAAAAAGAAGCTGCACGGATTCACATTATTTTGTCTGATGCAAACGCTAGAGAATGAACCAAATATGACACTACTTCAAATGTAGAACGCTGGGGCCTATAAGCAAACTGGGCTGGCTTGCCGAACTACCTTGTGGTGCCAGCTGGGTGTTTCGTGTGTACCCCGTTCCAGCGAAGTATTCGGCATTTTACTCTGGCAATGCTACGGGAGGGGGGTTTGGGCCTCTTTTGGTAACTTAGCGAACAAAAGACGTGTGAACTGAACATGTAGTCAGCGGCTCCCAATGGGCGCGATTCATTGAATTCGTCCCGCTGCCTTACGCATTGGTTATTTAGCCAAAGCCTCGTAGTGGTATCCCCTAAGACAGCTACATACTTCGGATTGGGCAACTGGATAGTATCACGCCCATTGACAAAACAATGAATTATTCGTCTGCTATATCGCGCTCAGCTGCCTTAACTTCTGCTATCTGCACACCTTATTCACACGCCTCCCGTTCATTGGTTACAAATCACTGTCATCCGTTACTAGCTGATTCCTGTTTCCGTGATTCCACTCCCGATGGTTTCATCGACACCAACATAGTTCGTCAAGTAGCGCTCCTTCAGCATCGGTCCTCGTTCCGCCTGGCATGTTTCAATGTACTTACACACATGCAGATCGGGCAGCAGGCTGATCTTGCTCGCACTTTGGAATCCCTTGCGATCGATGTTCGCTACCTTTCCTAAACACGCTTGTAAGACTCCAGTACTGTGTTCGAGTTGAGATCTCCCATCCACCGCGGAGCCATGTTTCACCTACGTCTAGCTGATAACACAGAGGCAGCCGCGGCACACTTGACTGGCGCTGGTGTAGCGCTAAGCAGCCAAGCCGAAGCCGCATTGCTGGGCTGGTTTCCGATTAATAGCCAACTGTACGCAGTTCTGCTTCGGGAATAATGCAGAATGAACAGCTATCGTGAGGAGAGACGCAACTTGTTTGTGGTCTCAACTTAGGCTCCAGCTGACTGCAGTTCCGACTCGGTCAAGGACGATTTCTACCGTGAACTTCCCCAGCTCTTTGGCAGAGCTTGCAAATCCGCATTGTTGTCCTTGCTGGGGATCTCAACGCACGGGTCGGTCGTCTATTGTCGTGGGAAAGTCACCTCGATGGTCATCATGCGTGCGATAAGAGTCTCTCTGATAATGGGGAGACTTCTCACTTTGTGCCAAGACAATCGTTTATTTCTATCGAGTACCAACTTTCGGAGTTCATGGAGACGTTTCGGATCTTGGCGACCCCTATCTGCGTCTCAATCTGGGTCTCAAATTGATCATATCGCAAACAGTTTCAGATGGAGGGTTAGTGTAAAGGATTGCAAATCCGCCTGGTCCACTTTTTTTGGCTCAGACTATTATCTTGTTTGTGCGAATATCTGGTTGAGTTTCGGTGAGTCTCCGAAAACGAGACACTGTAAGGTAGACACAAATAAACTTTCTACTTTTTGGTCCAGCAGAGCTATCTAGTTTTCCTGGCCGCTGCACTCAGCTTTGACCCTCCCTAAGACATTGATGAACAGTGGACGTTCACATAGAGCGCCATGTTCTCTTCCAGGGATTTAGTCTGGGGTCTTACTCAGCACCCTATGAAGGCATGGATCTTCACGTGTTCTTTGGATCCATTTGATCGCCACAGGAATAGTCCAGCGCAGTCCAATGATACTGAAGTGCGCCGCTCTGTCAGTCGGTAGCTCAAACAAAGCCTTCGCAGTGATCGTGAAGCCTAGCGGTTTCAGCGCGCATCGGAGGCCGCTGCCTTGTCTGGCAGTACTCGCAAGCTCTTTCAACTCATTCGATCCACTGGCCACAAAATTCCTGGTGTCAGTGAGACTATATGTGAAGCGGATGGTTCGCCGATTGCCAACCTACAGAGACTCTTGGACCGATGGGCCGAACATTTTCATTCCCAGTTCAGTTGGCCCTCACCGTCCACTTTTACACTCTATGAACCAAGACGCTGGTTCTGAGTCATCACACTTGATCCGCCCAGTGAAGCGGAAGTTTGTCTTGCAATTCAACATCTGAGACGATATAAGGCTGCCGGCTCAGACGGACTTCCTCCGGTACTGTTCAGGCATGGAGGCGCAGTTATCATTAGCCAACTAACCTCATTGTTCTCCAAAATCTGGCATAAAGAAAAGGTGCCTTCTTCCTGCGGCGAATCAATTGTTATGCTGATTTTCAAGGAGGGTGCTCGCACTTCTTGTACCAATCTCCTGGGGATTAGTCTCATTTCGGTTGCTTCCAATGCTACTCAGTAGACTTTCTCCCTTTCGTGAATCGCGATACCGGGAAGAACAAGCTGGCTTCCGTCATGGCCGTGGGTGCATGGATCAAATATTCACACTCCGCCAAACCCTCGGACACGGCGACTTCTACCAAAGACCGACCAGGATTACATTCTTAGACTTCCGTGCTGCATTCGAATCGGTTGATCCACCTGCGCTGTGGCGTTGCTTGCTAAGGAACTGGGTCCTAGAAAAGTAAACTGCTATTCTACGTGCACTCTACCTCCACATCTCCGGCAGAATGAGGGTCCATGGCAAGCTTTCGTCGTCGTTCGCTGTCAATAGTAATGTACGACAGAGCTGTACTATGCCCCCCTTTTCTCTTCAATTTTGTGACTGAAGACGTCCTGTCGAGAGCTTTGGAAGCTCGTCAAAATTTTGGACTGCAACTACTGCCGGACAAGTGAGCGATTGATCTAGCTTATTCCGATAGCATCGCCTTACTTGGTGACAGAGCATGCAAACCACTCTGGACCGTTTGGCGGCTTAGGCATCTAAGTTTGGTTTGTGCATCGTCCTTTTGATGTGTAAGATGCTACTCCAGGATTGACACTCACCCATTCCCGAGCTCACTCCTGAAGGTACACAGCTAGAACAAGTGGATAGCTTTGTCTACCTGGGCAGGTGCATGTCTGCTGGTGGCTCTATTGAGAAGGAAGTTTCTCTCAGCATTGCCAAAGCTCGGTCAGCCTTTGTCAACCTGAAGCACTTGTGGTATCGTCGGGTTGTCTCCCTCTTGTGTAAGAGTCGCGTGCACAGTGCCACCGTTCGGGCGCTGTTGCTA